AAGCCATATTAAAAATAGTATGTGTTGTGATTGTGTTGTGGTTGTGTTGTGATTGTGGTCCTAATACTAGAAAAGCAGAGTTGGATGGATCCTTCCAGATGGCCAGCCCAGCCTAGTTGGAGAGTTCAGGGTCAGTGAAAGACCCTTCTCTTGTAGATGGACCCTGAGAAGTGATGAAACCTGAGGACATCCTCGGGACTCCACCCACATGCACACACAAACACGTGCACCCTCCCACACACATTTGTGCGTACACTCACATACACACTATATAAGCTGGGATCCTTGACGAGGCCTTGCTCTCTGCTGGCTCCCTGTATGTCCCTGCTTGGGAGAAACAGTCCTATGGGGGTGTTTCTAGCACAGAAAGTCTAACTGTGGCCTTGTATTAGTCAGAGCAGCATCTGACTTTTGTAAAGGTGTGTCATAATTTAGCTCCAGCTTTCAGACCACGTGGCATTCTAGTTTCCATTTGGCCATAGAATGTATTAGAAGACAGCAGCCACAGGGCTAGAGAGACTGCTTGATGGTCAATAGCACTTATTTGTACAGAGGACCCAGGTTTGATTCCCAGCACCCACATGGCCACTCACAACCGTCTGTCACTCTAGGTCCAGGGGATGCGACGGCCTCTTCTGTCCTCCATGGGCATGCACACATGTGTAGCATAGACATACATGCAGTCAAAACACTCACACACATAAGTAAAAGTCCGAAAAAGAAAAGAAGGCATGAGCAGCAATGTAGGATCTGAACCGTTAAGGTTTAGAGTCCCTGCTATTGAAGCACTTTATTGGCTTTCCCACAGTTTAACCCCAGATACACAAGCAGCAGCAGGAGAAGGCTCAGCATAGCCTTGTCTTGGCTTCAGATGGAGGTGCTGAATCTAGGCTAGGTGCTGCTGTGATCCCTACACCTGGGGCTGGGAACACTGGAAGACCAGGCGTTCCAGGCCGTTCCCAACTGTGTAATGATGTGTTGGGTACACTCACGTTCTGTGAGAGCCCTGTATTAGTGACTCTCCACAGGGAGCAGGGAGGCAGCATCCAGAAGGGAGGTTCCAGTAAGACACCTCACAGTGCAGCAAACACCAGGCAGGGCTGCAGGACAGCTAAGTGCTCACTTCTTGAAGCCCAGGTAGGAAGCAGAGAATGGCAGGTGACCCTGAAATGTCAAAGCTCCCCTCCAGCCCCCAGTGAGCAAAGCAACACCTCCTAAACCTCCCCAAACAGTGCTGCGGGTAGAATACTCAGAGTATTCAGATTCCAAGTGTTCTCAGTGAGTGGGGGCATTCTCACTCACACTACCACACTCTGTCCCAAAATAAAGATGGTGCAGAAGAAAGGAAGGGAGGGAGGGGGAGGAGGAGGAGGGAGGGAGGGGAAGAGGAGGGAGGGGAAGAGGAGGGAGGCAGGAATAGAGAAAGTGAGGAAAGAAAGAAAGGAAGAAACAAGGAAAATCGAGGCACTGGGTCAGTTTCCTTTACCTCCTATGGTTTGGTTTGTTTCTCAAGACAAGTTTTCAGCTCAGGCTGGTCTCAACAGTCCTCGTCTCAACTTCACAAATGCTGGAGTTCTGGGTGTATGCCGCTACACTGGATCTCGTGTGTGTGTGTGTGTGTGTGTGTGTGTGTGTGTGTACCTATTCACAGTGTTATGTGAGTGTGTATACGTGTGTATGTGTATGGATATGTATGTATGAGTGTGTGTTTATATATGTGTGTTTATGTGTGTATATGATTTTGTGTATGTGTGTATATTGTGTATATGTGTGTCTCTGTGTGTAGCTGTGTCTGTAGTGTGTGTTTGTGAATGTTTGTGTGAGTGTGTATGTCTGAGTGTATGTTTGTGTGTGTGTGTATATGTGTGTGAGTGTGTATGTGAGCGTGTATGTATATGTAGTAGGAGTATGTGTTGTGTGTGTGTGTGTGTGTGTGTTCATGGTGGTGGTGCTGGGGCTTGAACTCAGGACCATGTGGTTGGTAGTGAAGAGCTCCACCATTGACTCGCACCTGTGACAGGCTTTCCTACCTTTTCCTCTTTGTTTTACCTTTTGAAACAAGGGCTCTCTGTAGTGGCCCAGGTGTCTTTGAACTTGTGGTGATCCCCCTGCCTCGTCTTCCCAAGTGCTGGGATCACAGTATGACTCCAGTCCTAGCTGTGCCCCTTTCTTCTTAGAGTCAGCCTCTCTGGCTGTGTGCCAGCAGTGTGCCTGCCACGCCAGTGTCAGCCAGACCTGGAGCTAGCTGAAACCCCAGCAGCTGGGCTCTCCAGGGAGATGTTCTTGGTTTGTTTATTTGAGGTGGAAGGCCTGCCCTAACTTCGATCCTCTGAGGTTAGGAAACTGCCTTAACTCTGGGCCACACCCTCGCTTTCCTTGGCCCATCGTCTGTCCCCTTCCAGGCACATCCCCACTGTGTGAGAATGCACTTCTTTGGAAATCCAATGTAAACTGAAGGCCAGAGGCTCTCTAGGCCTTCCCGCACTCCAGCAGGGATTGGAGCTGATTCGACACCCAGTCTTCTGGACCAAACAACTATCAGATTCGTTGCCTTTCCAGTGGAGACGGCCATTGCTGGACTAGCTGGACCACAGCTTGCCACTCTGAAAGTAGCATATGGGTAACATATGCATACATGCATATATATATGCATACATACAAGCACATATGCATACATACACACACATGCATACATAATACATGTGTATTCACATAACATAGATACACCTATATGTATATTTGTTCCATCAGTTCTGTCCCTTTAGAGAACCTTAATAAAATCAGCACACATAAATTCTGCCTTATTTTCCCAGCTCTGCCTTGTGGAAGATCATGAGGTCAATGTATTTTTCATGAGCAAAGGTAAATTAGGGCTTTCTGGTAAAAAAAACAAACAAAAACAAAAACAAAAACAAAAATAACTATCAGAAAACACCAATCATAATTCTTTATTGTTAATGCTAAAGTAAAAAATATGTGTGGCTTTTCAGTGTATTAACTGACTTAATGCATGGCAATAATATCACTACACTCCTTAGCAGGGTTCTTTTCTATGTATGCCTTTGCACACGCATGCACATCTGCATGCCATGCGCACACAGATTGTAGCATGAAAATTACAATTGTGACATTCCAGGGGCTGGCAAAATTTTTCCATGAAAGGCCAGAGAGCAGGACTGGGGATAGCTCAGTTGCTGAAGAACTTGTGGTGGCTTGAATGAGAACAACCCACATAGGCTCATATGTTTCTGTGCTTAGTCTTCAGTTGGAGAACTGTTTGGGAAGGATTAACAAAGTTGCCTTATGGGAGTAGGTGTGGCCTTGTCAGAGGAAGTGTGTCTCTGGGGGCAGGCTGTGAGGTTTACATGTCTAGAACATTCTCTCTGTCTGTCTGTCTCTGTCTGTTTCTGTCTCTCTGTCTGTCTCTGTTGGTCTCTCTTTCTCTGCCTGAGGATCAGGATGCAGAACTCTCAGCTACTGCTCCAGCATTACATTCCCCACCATGATAATCATGGCCTAAGCCTCTGAAACTGTAAGGAAGCCCCCAATGAAACTCCTTTATAAGAATTGCCTTGGCCATGGTGTCTCTTCATAGAAACAGGAAGCTTAAGACACTACTTGGCTCACAAGCACAAGGACCTGAATTTGATCCCTATAACCCATATTTAAAAAGAAAAAAGAGTCACATCACATGCTTATAATCCACTTCTGGGGAGGGGATCGGGGGATACCTGAGGCTCAGTGGCCAACCAATCTTGTCTTATTAGCACCCCAAGCCAGTGAGAGATCCTGTCCCCAGAACAAAGTGGATGGCTCCTAAGGATATCCAAGGCTGTCCTGTCTTCAGGGGCTCTGAGCATACATGAACCCACAGACATGTCTACCCCCACACAAAAGACCAAATAGCCAATATGAGTTTCATCTTGAGACCACACAACTCTATACAGCTACCCAACTCAACTACTGAGGGGTAAAAGTAGTCACTCACGGGAAGTATGTACAACAAATGAACATGACTGTGTTCTAATAAAACTTTATGGGCATTAAAAGTTAGATTTAAAAAATTCAATGCAACACAAAATATACTTTTTAAAAATTTCAACAATTAAATATATCCATTTTTATTTGCAGTGAGTACAAAACCAGGTAGCACACTGGGTATGTCCTGGAGGATTTGGTCTCTAATTCTCAGAGCTCTGTGATGTCCAATATCAAAGTAAAGAGAATTGTCACTGCTTAAAGTTTCAGAGTGAGTTACACCCTTGTGTTCATTTCATACCAGGGGATTATCAGATTAACTTTTAAGTTTTGTGTTTTTATTTCCCCCACTTTGGGAAAAAAAAATTTCATTTTTAAAGGCTAAAACCAGGAAGGTAATTGTTCTACTTTAGAAAACACTAGCTATTAGTTTCAGTTAGCATGATTGTGTGCATTTGTTTTACTCTATAAATCTGTGTTTCAATAAATTGCCCTAATAAATAGGCAATACTTTATGAAATAAACTCACACGTTTAAATTTTGTAATTTAAAGCTGGAATTTAAAAACACACAAGATTCCAGGCATGGTGGTGCAAGCCTTTAATCCCAGCACTCTGGGAGGCAGAGGCAGGCGGATCTCTGAGTTCGAGGCCAGCCAGGGATAGAGCGAAACCGTCTCGAAAAACCAAAACAGAACAAAACAAAAACCGCAGAACATTAGAAGGGTAAAAAATATTTAATATACCCCAATGCATGACCCTACACCCATATAATATGGACTAGTGGGTTTAAAACAATAAAAATAAAATAAAAAAGACGCGAATCAGGCTAACTTTTGACTGCCGCGTCCACTAAAGCTTTTAGTCCTCCCGGCAGCCCTCGCGGCCGCGCAGGCGCGTTGGGCTTCGGAGCGCGCACGCGCAATTCAAAGCGGCGCGGGAAGAGCCGCGCAGGCGCGATGGGCGGGCGGGCTCGGCGCGCCTGCGCACTGAGCTTCCCGTTGGCCCTCCCTGACGGCCGCGCGTCCGTCTGTGCTGCTGGTTCCGCCGCGCGGCCGGCCGCCCTCCGCCGGTGTGAGCAGGTCCGTGGGCCGCCGCCCGCCGAGCCACCTCCTCCGGGCCCGTCCCAGCGCCGTCCTCCCCGGCCGGCTCCCGCGGGCTCCGCCGACGCCTCCCCGGGCGGCCGGCGGGCTGAGCGTCCGCTCCGCCGAGGCGCTCTCTCGGCGGCGGGCCCGCCCCCCTGAGCGCCGGCGCCTTCCGCTAGCTGCTCTCCTCCCAGCCCCGTCCGCGTCCCCGCGGGTGCAGCCGAAGCCGGGGCTCACATGGCGGAGGCCGGGGCCTTGTCCCCGCTGCCCGGCCGCGACGGGTGTCCGGCCGACGACGCTGTAAAGAGATATGAGCAGAATGTCAAACTCTCAGGTAGGTGCTCGGCCCCGCCGTTCCGAAGGCGCGCGGGCCGCCATTCTGCGTTCTCTACTTTGTTCAGAACGAGGGGGAAAGGCAAGGCAGGAGGTCGTGAAGGTACTGTCCCCGGAATGAACGGAAAACACACACCTGACTCAAAATGGTCTGTTTGCGGTGGCTTTTCCGTGACCGGGTAGAGTCATAAAGTCTGGGTTTGGGATTGGGATTGGATCGCATTTTGAAAGGATGGGGATCCAGCTTTGTCCTTCAGAGGAAGTTGGTCGGGCCCAAACACTATTGGTTTCTAGGGAAACAGGCGTGTTGATGCCCGAACTTTCCTCCCAGGCCCATGGTAGCCTTAGTGTGGAAAGCCTGAGTTTAGAAGTTGGCCGGGAAAGGGATTAAATATTCAGAAACAGAATTCCCGGGAAGACGTGAATGGAACGTCTGTGGGCGAGACACAGCGCTGCGTCTCGTCAGTCTTCCTGAAGTGAAGGTCACTCTACCGGAGTCCTGCGAGAAGATTGAGCATCCCTGTATTGTGTACCTCCAGCGGGCATGGTGGTGAACATCGGAAACCCAGGTGGAGGGGGAGTCGTGAGGTGCAGGAGTTCAAGTCCAGCCTGGGCTTCGAGAGACCTGTCGGAGCTCCACCGCAAGAAACGTGTCTGTGCACACACTGCACGGTGCCCATGTGGGAGTGTTCATTTAACACACATGCTTTTAAACGTGGGTTCCCCTTGACTGTAGTCTTAACTTCATTCCTTGTCATTGAAGTACCTTCCTTAACCTAAACTGTCTGCTTCCATTTCTCTTCAGAGTTCTAATCCTTTGTAAATGCTGTTAATCTTTAAAATACTGCTGTTACCTAGCCGCCCACCCCCCAAATCAATAACCTGTTTTTCAGTCTGGCCTTTTTTTTTTTTTTTTTTCTTTTAAATACATGTAGCTTTTGTGTGACCAACATAGGACAGACAGATAGTGCTGTAATAATTTATAAAGCAACCTGAGATTTTATCCACAGGCTCTTCAAAGTGACTCAATAAAAAGCAAAGCTGTGGTAGAAACATAACTTTAGTAAACTGACCTTGATGGGGTCTGGACATCAGAACGTCAGATTAGATCAAGAAACGTGTGTCCTGGGCCTTGTCTTCCTGGGTATAGCAGATGAATAGCAAAGCCCTTTGTTTAGTAGTAATTTTGAGTTTTTATAATACGACAAATTATTCATGCTTATTGAAGAAAATTTGAGAAAACTTCTAAATTAAAGCATTTCTCACCATTTAGTCCTTTAGTTTTGTCTGTGTGTGTCTATGGAAATAGAACACACATATATGCATGTGTGTAGAGGCCAGTGGACAAGCTCGTGATCATTCCTCAAGCACTGCCACCTTTCTGTTGTTCTAGACAGCATCTAAGGCCTAGATCTCACCAGTTTGGCCAAGCTCGCCAGCAAGTGTGCCCCATAAAGTTGCCTGTCTGCTTCTTGGGCATGGTATTACCATGCCTAGCTTTTTGACCTGGGTTTTAGGCTCAGACTCAGGTGCTCCTGCTTGCACAGCAAACATTGACCAGCTGAGCCACCTCCGCTTAGGGTACATACCCAAAGACTGAGATTGTAATCAGCCTAGTTCTAGTGTTTCCCTCAGTGCTGCGACTGGATTCAGAGTTTTGTGTTTAGGCAAGTACCCCACCACAGAGCAACACTCCCAGCCACTCTGATCTCTTTTGCTTGGTATGTACTTTGAAGACTTTTTAAGTACTTAACTTTTCTACAGCCTGGCTTTTTATTGTTGAAGCTTTGAAACATTTCAATTTTTCCCTGCTAAGGAAAATGCTGCAAGCCAGGCAGTGGTGGCGCATGCCTTTGATCCCTGCTCTCAGGAGGCAGAGGCAGGCCATGTCTGAGCTAGAGGCCAGCCTGGTCTACAGAGTGAGTTTCAGGACAGTCAAGGCTACCCAGAGAAAACAAACAAACAAACAACAACAACAAAAAACAAAACTGACATAGGGTTTGATTAAATGTTGTTATTTCAACAAACTTGTTTTAAGTTGTGTGTTCCAAGTTTAATGCCAAAAATCTGTTTGATGAAAGAATGACATGTAAATTATATACTGAGTGTCTCCCATATGTTAAATTACACTAGAGGTCTCAGTACCCAGGTACATTTCACAGTGAGTTATAGGTGCCATCTTGGTTGTCTGAGACAGATTCGGTGTATTCACGCTTACATGAAATTCTGTGATCCCGCAAGGATAGGAAAGTTAGTATACAAAGTCCCCAAATAAGCATGGCATTCTCCTGTACAATTACTCTCACTCCACGGTGAGGCTGAAGACATTCTTAAGTGATGGAAACTTGCTAAATATCTGTTAACATGCAGGTGCTTTTCTAGATGTCAGAGGTAAATCAGGGATGTTATAAATGACATAAAATAATATAAATTAATTGTTAGATTGTTACCAATCTAACTAGAGCCAGAAGCGGCACACACTTTCACATTTGGATGCAGAGGCAGGAGGAGCTGAGTTTGAAGCCAGCCTTGTCTGCATAGCAAAGTTCTCTGAGCTACATCAGCAGCTGTTGTTTGATCATCTACAGAGACAAAAGTGGGGATAAAAAAGTTGTAATAGTATCTGTGCCATTTGGGTATTTCAAGGATTAAGATACATGTATACTTTACACAAAGATTGTCACAGTAAGTGCCTAATGCTTGACTGATAATTCTTACTATTATAGTTAAATTTTGTGAGAGGAAGGGTTGACACAGGGTCTCCGCTGGCTGGCCTGGAGTTTGCAAGGAAAAACACCATGTGAGAAAATAATGCATATGAAATTGAAGTCACTCTGAAAATGCTTTAAACTTTGAGCGTAATGAGAAAGCAGCTCATGCTTTGCCTCAGTTCTGCACTAGAGTCCGAGGATTCTCCTGTGATTCTTTTTTGTATCAGTAGTTGATTAGATTTTAATGTTACTGCTTCCACTTATTTTAGCTATGCATACTTTTATATTTATTTGAAATTAGCAGTTTTTCTGGGCTCTGAGATGGAGGATGCTGTTAACTTCGGGAACACATAAGTGAATTTTCCCCACAAACTAGAGAACCCTAGAAGACTGTTTCTGAGGTCAGACTGTCCATTCCATGCACAACACTTTCCTGTGTAAGATTCTGTGTCTCTGAAGGAAGTTTTTTCAAGATTATCGCAGTGTGCCCTTATGCCAGGTAGTGATCACAGCACACTCTGTGTGTTTGTTTTTCTATTTTGATTGTTTGTTTTGAGACAGTCTGGCCTTGAACTCCTGGTCTTCCTGTTTCCATGTCCCAGGTCTGGAAGCACCAGCATGTACCAGCATACCCACTTAGAGTTTTTTTGTTTGTGTATTTAACTTTTTTCCACTTTTCTGTTTCCCTTGCTGGCCTTCAGCTCCTGCCTTAGTCTCCTGAGTAGCTGGGACCACTGTGTCACCTTGCCCAGCTCTTACTTAACACGGAGCATTTTCATAGTAAAAGCCAAATGTGTGTTAACAGCATCTCCTCGTGTGAACCTTCAATACAGCTGAGAGCTGCTGTGTGAAATTTGGGGGCTTTTTAGTTTTCCTCTAGTTAAAATTTTGTAACTTGCAACTTCTTAGCAACTTTGTAGGTTTTAATGTATTATTTTGTGGTTAATTACTTGTTTTAAAATATGTTTCATTGCTCTATTTTTTAACCTAAGAGATGGGGTAATGGTGGCAAGTTCCTGTATAGTACTTGGGAGTTAGGTGGGGGAGTTACCATCCTTGGCCAGCTTGGGCTGTAAAAAAGACCTGTCCCAAACCAACATAAACAACAAAGCCCTGACTATTTCTCACTGGTTCTAACTGTAGATTCTTACTTCCTTTGCAGGCATTAAAAGAGATATTGAGGAGCTTTGCGAAGCCGTGCCACAGCTTGTCAGTGTGTTCAAAATTAAGGACAAAATCGGAGAAGGTAGGTTAAAAGTATATTCCACTGTTGTTGACTGTTGAAAAACATAGTAATGTTAGTAACTGTGTAACAGAGTTCTCCCCCCTTGGAAAGAATGAACATAGTAAATATTTAGGATAAAACAGTCATAACTTAATCTAGTATGCCATTAAGACTTTCTAAATCTCTTCTGGCATTGTTTACATTTTTAAAGCCTAATGTTGGGAAATCTGCCCCATTCCTTCACAGGTACCTTCAGCTCTGTTTATTTGGCCACGGCACAGTTGCAAGCAGGACACGAAGAGAAAATTGCACTGAAACACTTAATTCCTACAAGTCATCCTGTAAGAATTGCAGCAGAGCTTCAGTGTCTGACCGTTGCTGGGTAGGCGGTTCAAGGCATTTCTGCTGAGTGGGCTGGGTCTGCTTCACAGAGCCTCAGGGCACACAGGGCAGGGGCTTGCACCTAACCTTGTCAGTTAGGTGTTGCCTAGTGCTTTGCCCTGAACCTTGCAATAGTCAAAATAAGAAAGACAGAGCGTGAGAAATGCACGCATATCCAAATAAAAATAACAAGGTCAGAAACCATAATGCATAAGGCCAAAGACTAAAGGACCAAAAAAAAAAAAAAAAAAAAATGAGGGTGTGTGTGTGTGTGTGTGTTGGCCATCTCCTGCTGGGTATGGGTCCTACCTTTAAAGGCAGTTTGTATACCCAGTGAGACTCCACTGGAGAAAACCACTTTTCCTTTGCAAGCGGGTGTAGATACCTTCTTAATCAGGCTCAGCCCGTGCCCTACCCGCTCCTACTCAACAGTGCTGGAACCCCATCTGCCTTGAAATTGTGCAAGCTGCTGCAGCTCCTGTGAGTTTATACATGCTTCAGCCCTGCTGTATCTGGAGATACTGTTTCCTTGGAATCATCATTTCCTGTGGCTCTTAAATCTTTGCTCCTCTTCTGTGTATATAGCTTTCTGGGCCCTGACAGGATAGGCTTGATGAAGAGGACCCATTTAGCACTGAGCGTTTCAGAATTTCTCAAGTTGGAGTTTAGTAATATGTGTAAAATGTTTAGTCCAAAGCGTAGCTAATTGTAGGGACCGTCGGTGAGTGTCGTTTATCTTAAAACCTGTTACAAGTAGTGTCTTCATCTACCTGCTCCCCAGTTAAGATGGCAGAGAGCTCATGTTCGGATTGTTACAGTAACCTTATAACTGCTGCTATTTTTGTTTGAAAATGTTATCATTTACATGTCAGATAAATGCTTAGATTCACTAATGTGATTTTGCAGTTTCTAGTAGTGAATACTCATGCATTGCTGATTGCTTTCTTAAAGACATTAAGGTTGCATTTGCCCTCCGTTCTGAAGTTCATTGTGCATTCTCCGCTAGGGGCCAAGACAATGTCATGGGAGTGAAGTACTGCTTCAGGAACGACGACCACGTGGTTATTGCTATGCCGTATCTGGAACACGAGTCTTTCTTGGTAGGTTTTCATAGTTTTGCACTTTAATCAGCTAAATGTCCAGTTGAAACAATTTTGTGACTTCATTCATACTTTATTTTAGGACATTTTGAATTCTCTTTCATTTCAAGAAGTTCGGGAATATATGTTTAATCTCTTCATAGCTTTGAAACGGATTCATCAGTTTGGTATTGTTCACCGTGATGTGAAGCCCAGCAATTTTTTATATAATAGACGCCTGAAAAAGTAAGTATGAAGGATCCCAGAAAACGTGGACAGTTACTTGTGTGCGCTGTGGAGTCTCCAGGACTGCAGTGTTGATGTTTGTGTTCCCATGTCACCGTGACTGGGGAGAGGAAAGGAAGAGAATACAGTTACACTACTTGCACATGTGCACCCTGAGAGAGGCCCTTAGGGACTTAGAATTAGCCCTTTCTGACATTAGTGCCCTTGTTTCTAAGGCTTCATGGTTGTGTTTCAGCAAATGAGAGCGTTGGACAACAGTCCATCTTCTGTTTGGACACCAGAGTTGTTAGGAGTATTGTTGTTGATTATATATGAAGAGACCTTATAAGCTGAAAATAGCGTTTATTGCATAGCGTACTTATGGTAAGGAAATGAAAACATTCTTTAGCCCATGCTTTTCTGTAATTTCTTTAAACTTGTTCAGTTAGAAGTTCTCTATTGTAATGCCGTTTTCCCACTGCTGAGCAGCCAAGGCTCTTGCTTTCTTTTTCTCCTATGCACTCTTCCGCCCTATCTCAGCACAGGCCAGGAGACAGTGCTCAGCTGCTTGCTTTCAGGATGCAGCTTTCTCTAATTTTCAGCCTTGGCTATTAAGTCCTTTGGAATTTTTCCTTTTTCTCCCTCCCCAGGAATATTATAAATTCTTAATTGTTCTGGAATGAATTAAAAGTTTCTGAATGTGCTTTGAGAGCATTTCAGTGTTATTAAAATTAAATCTCAGACTGGTCATGCTGATGCACGCCTGTAATTCCAGCACTCAGGGAGCGCAGGTAAATGGATCTCTGTGAGTTCGAGGCCAGCCTGCTCTACAAAGCAAGTTTAGGACAGCCAAGGCTACACAGAGAAACCCTATCTCGAAAAACAATAACAACAAAAAAGATTACATTTCTGCGGGAGGTTACAATTGTTGATTTTGCTTCTTAGGTATGCCTTGGTGGACTTTGGTTTGGCCCAAGGAACCCATGACACAAAAATAGAGCTGCTCAAATTTGTCCAGGCTGAAGCTCGGCAGGATGGCTGTTCCCGAAACAAGTGCCACGGGGTCATTGGCCACAAGGGCTCCCTGAGTCGCCCAGCACCTAAGAACCTGGATCAGCAGTGCACCACAAGGACTTCTGTCAAAAGATCCTACACAAATGCACAGATTCACGCTAAGCCAGGAAGAGATGGAAAGGTTCTACCTTTTACTTTTCATGGGAACATTTGGGAGTGTTTTCCGCCAGCCGACAAGGAAGTGCCAACGGAGGGTAGTGCCTGTACTTGTGTCCTCAGCCCTTGTGGCTTCTTAGTGAGATGCTTCTCATTTCACTGTCTCAGATTGAAACTCTTTGCCAGTGTTTAGTTTGCATTTATAGATTACGTTGTATGATAAAAAGAATTCCCCTGCCTCCTATAAAGTTTAGGTTAGTTCTCTCTCTAACAAGTGTTATTATAGGGGAAATTTGAGCTATCTGTCCATTTTGGCTGCACAGGAAAAAGAAGCACTTGTAGCCTTAGAGTTTTAGTGGTGTGTGGGTGTGTGTGCACTGTGTTAGGAGTTTTGCCTACACTATTTTCTCCTTTCACAGTGTTTTGGTACCTGAGAGTGTCTTGAGTGCAGCTGTTTCTGTTTTACGATCCTTTCTCAAAACTGTGGCAGAGTACAGCTGGCAGAAAGTGTGACAGTGTAACCCTGTTTTCCTTGTGTTTGTTGGTGTTGTAGGAGGGGTCTGTAGGCCTTTCTGTCCAGCGCTCTGTGTTTGGAGAAAGGAATTTCAATATACACAGCTCCATTTCACATGAGAGCCCCGCAGAGAAAGTAAGTACTGCAGCCTCGCAGCTCACGCCATCCCCGCTGCAGCTAGGGAGTCGCTAGGTGGCGTGTGGTAGCTGGCCGCGGCAGAGCGTGTTACTCCTTTAGCATTTACTCAACGTTTCATCTCTCATTTCTTTCTGAACTCTTGGTTTGGTCACCTGTGGCTCCCTTCCTGTGTAGGAGCATTCAGAACGGGGCTAGACTTCTGTGAGCGCCCAGCCTCAGTGTTCCTACAGTCAGCAGTGTGAAGACCCTGTCACGTGCCTGGAGGTTGGGGGTTGAACCTGCTAGGTACCCTGCTTGCTGCCCAGTGGACAGCAAGAAGCCTGAACAGCAGGCGGCCTGAGGCCCTGGACTGCAGGGTGCACTTGTGAAATGGAGTTAGTAGCAGTCAGGGTGCCAGGAAGTGTTCTAGTAGTGTCCCATATTCGCCAGCCAATCAGATTCTCGTCATGTGACAGAAAGCCCCCCAAAAGTATTGAAATTTTTTTTGTCTTGTTTTGTTTTGAGACACGGGGTTTTGGAGTCCTCCTGCCTCAGCCTCCCTGGTTCTGCTATTACTAACGTCTGGCCATGCCCTGGCCTTAGACAGCTGTTGACGGGCAGCCTCGCAGCGCCAGCGGTTTGTGCTGAGCTTGTGCCTCTGACCGCTGCTTTCCCCCGGCACCGAAGGCCGAGTCTTAATATAACAGCTTCTCTTGTAGTGCATCAAGCCATCAAAGACTGTGGACGTAATATCAAGAAAGCTGGCAGTGAAAAAGACGGCCGTCTCTGCGAAAGCTCTGAATAGCGTGACGAGGAAAGCCACCAGTTCCTGCCTCACCGTCCTGACGTGCGACTGCTTTGGAACAGATAGAGTCTGCAGCATTTGCCTGTCGAGGTAACGTGTTCCCAAGGTGCTAGAGTCACGCTGCTGCCAAGACGAGGCCAGAGGTTGGAATCACTGCTGGGACACTAGTGTACAAAGTGAAAGGGGGAGTCACAGGCCCCGGAACACGGTTGTGCAGTGGTACTTGTGGTATTCCTGTGGTGAAAACACATGTGGAACACACATTTGCTCTCACATGCAGCTAGGGCTGGTGGAGGAGGGTCTGGAGATACTTGTTTGCTGGTGTCGTTGTTCCTGCCTGTGTCGAATAGCCCAGACCAAGTAATGCTGTACTCTGTCTCAGAGTTTTTCCTCTAGACTTGGTTTTTGTAGATTTTTTTCCTGGTGAACTCAAATGCACTCGTGAATGTGTATGTCAGTAACCCAAGATCCCAAACAGAAGAATTTTTATATAAATTCCTGCTCTGTTATGGTTTTTATTATCTACCATCTGTTTTTATACTGGCAAATTGTGTTAAAATCTGTCTGGGATAAGGCCAGGGCTTAAGGGTTAGGCCAGGGTGTGGGGGGTTGGGGGAATACAAGTAAAATCCAAAATGTTTATTGCATCCAGTTTTCAGCGCTTACAAACATTTTATTTATATTGACAACAGGAGTGAATTTTGTGTGAACTAAATTGAGAACTTAGGTTTTAGACTTCCATGTTCAACTTTGTTTTTTCCTTTGAGGCAGGGGAGTCACTACCTGGCTGTCCTGGACTCTGTAGATAGGCTGGCCTGTCTCCCTAGCCCCCCCCCCCCCTCGTAGTCCAGCTTTAACAGGCTAGGTGTCTTTCTTCCTCATCAGGCGGCAGCAGGTTGCCCCAAGAGCAGGCACACCAGGATTCAGAGCGCCGGAGGTCCTGACAAAGTGTCCAGACCAGACGACAGGTAAGGCAGCGCAGCACGGGCCACACTGTTGTCCTGGAGTGTGGCCACCGCTGGGCCCCGTTGACACAGCAGTGCAGCGGACTGCTCCCGGGATAATGCTCTAGTCTTGGTGCTGCTTGTTTAAGCGACCCCTGAGCGCCCCACAGGCTGCATTTGCCGATCCTGCTTTGTCGGTGTTTGATTGCTTCGCTTTCCTGTTACTTAGGACCTCAGGAGATTTTTGTGGGGCAGGGAGACTTTTTCTTACTGCTACCATGAAAATAATACAGTGGCAATTAACAGATTTTGAAAAATAGAAAAGCTTTCTAGAATCCAAAAAGCTGTAGAGCTTAGAAGACTTCCTGTTACATGTGCAGGTAACTCCTGCTGTTGACTTGGACCGTGGGCTTGGAAGATTTGTTCACTCCCTGTGCACCTGTCCTGTGCTTGCTATGACGCTAAGTGAGCCCGACTGTTCCAGTTAGTGCACAGTGCTCATAGTTACAGAGTGACTCGCTGAAGATGGCCAGAAGGGACGCCTGTTCTTCTCCACAGGGCTTTTGACAGGAAGTTCATAGATAGGAGACCTCTGAAATACTATAGATCGGCATTGGCACCGAGGAGGGGCTGAGGAACTCAGAACAGAGCATAGTCCAGTGCAGAGGAAACCCTAAGTTTAGTGTTGCTTAGTGTACAGTGGACATGCGATGGCTAGAAATGCTCTGGAGAGAGGTACAGATACGCTCGTTAAACCAAGTGCATTGTGTGCCAGCAATGCTAGTCGGGGCAAGAGACAGACGTGCCTGCGTTCCAGAAGGTCACTGCAGGTGTGCAGGGAGAGTGGATTGTGTAGGCTAGTGTGAAGAGAAGGTGAGGAGTTGACAACATAGCTTGTAGGTATTGGTTGTCAGAACTTCTGTGGTATCCTCAAGGAAAAAGGCGTGGACATGGACAGACTGCAGGAGAGCTTGGTTTATAGGGGAGGGTAGGATCGATTAAACCAGGGCAGGTTTGAGACTTGTAGCACATAAAAGGTGAGCGCACCTCAGCTCAGGGAAGGAGCAGGAGTGGAAACACAGTTGAGCATCACTGTGTAAGTGGTGGTGGGGACTGAGAGAGACTGTGCAGGGCGGGCATGGCGCCTGAGGAGCCTCAGCGTGGAGGAGGAGGCGTGAAGGAGCAGGCAGCGGTGCAAATGAAACTGAAGGACAATGCTGAGGGGCCAGGGTGGAGCCATAACTACTGCTAGGACACTTAGGAGAAAGTTGGCTGCAGGAGAAAGTTGCTTGGCTGTGTCTTTGTTCTGGTGCTGGGGCTCAAACCAGAGCTGTGGCTGTGCTGGTGCTAATGCTCAGTGTGTCACTAAAAGGAAAACACCTGTACCACCATGTCACTCTCTGAAAAAGCATCCAGACTTCTTCTCATGTAGCTGTTGATTTCCTTTGGTCCTATAGACTATACATTAATTTATAGTTTTCTAATGATGAAACATTTCTAATTCACCAGCGTGTTAAAGAGAGAAAACTGTTTTGCAGAAAAAAATGTTGAATTAGAGTTGTAATTATACACTAGAATCTCCCAAGAAACTTAAGTGTTCTAGAGCTACCTGAAGAGAATGCTGATGAAGCCACCCTCTGTGTTTTCTGTCGCAGCGATTGACATGTGGTCCGCAGGTGTTATCTTCCTATCCTTGCTCAGTGGGCGGTACCCATTTTACAAGGCCAGTGATGACTTGACGGCTTTGGCTCAGATCATGACGATTCGAGGATCCAGGGAAACCATCCAAGCTGCTAAAGCTTTCGGTAAGTTGTGTCCTAGAACAAGGCAGGTGCTTTTGGTTATCGCCTATAAATTGTTCTTTCTTTCTTTTTTTTTTTTTTAATTTTTATTTTTTTTACATTAATTACGTTTTATTTGCTTTGATTCCCAGCTGTAACCCCCTTTTATTCCCTCCCAGTCCTACCCTACCTCCCTCTTAGAAATTGTTGTAAAATTCCCCTTACAAGTTTTCTTGCTCAGTATTCAGAGTCTTCTGCTCTTAGGAAATTACTAACTTGCTTGAGAACAGTTCTTTCCCTTAAAGCGTGACCAGCTCACGTTTTAGAGCTAACTGGAAGAAATCAGTTTATAATCTTAACTCTTCATTGTAATTTGGCTTTTATTCTGTAGATACTTTTAATAGTAAACTTTAGTTTATTGTATATTGAGCATCGGGCACCTGGCACTGAATAAGGACAACTGTGAAGGGAGAGAATAGATGTGTGTTACTAATCCTCGGTTGCCATGGGGCTGGGGTAGCAGAGAAGTAGAACAAATAGACCTTTTATGACATGTAGTCACGTGTGTGTGTGTGTGTGTGTGTGTGTGTGTGTGTGTGTGCGTGCGCGCGCGCGCGCACGCGCGTGCTTCTTTAGTTTTGTTTTGACATAGGGTATACCTCTATACCTTTGGCTGGCCTGGAGCTCACAGGCATTCTCCTGCCTTTGCCTCTTGAGTGCTTGTATTACAGGTGTGCGCATAAATATCAGCAGCACAGGTTAAGACAGAGATAATGCATTCTGTGGGGTGCCTTGCTCTAATAGCCCAGACTCCAATGCCTGCCACTTGTGTGCTTATTCTCCAAATAGTATTACAGTTGCTGCTTCCCAAAGGTGTGGGTGATACACAGTCTTAGTTGGCCTACCTCAAGAGTGACCGAGCTGCCTTGTGCCCAGCCCAGATCAGCTCTTCTCACGCAGGAATACATATCAGAACTACCTGACAAAGTTAGGAATTGCAGCCATCTGCCCCAGCCTTCCCGCCCAGGGAGAAGATAATTCAGAAAGCAGGAGTCCTAGGATGACACTCCCTGAGAACCACTGCTGAAATGCACCAGAAAAAGTGTGTGTTCTGTAGTCTCAGCAGGCTTGACAACAGCACGTCAGCAGCGCTGACTGCATGTGTGCCTGTCCGCCTGGTCAGCATCTGTGTGGGGCACAGAGGCTGACATGCCCACGAACGGGGCCATTGCTGTCTGAACTTAGTGTTACATCACAAAGAGCATACGTGCTTGCACATTCTCAGTGACGTAAGACTTTCCGCCTCCACTCAACAGCTTGCAGAGGAGGCTGGGGTCTGGAGTTTGTCAGCCTGTGCTGAAACACTTTGTTGAAGAACTTGAATTTCCTCACTGATAGCCAAAGTCATAACGTTGCTAGTAACAGAAGTGACCTGTGATGCAAAGTCCCCTGGGACACGTCCACATGAGCAAGCAGAGCCTTCTGGGATTTGCCATCACCTTAGTGAGACAGCAGCACTGCCTTGAGTTTCCAGTTGCTTCAGCCAAATCTCACATCCTTGAGCGCTGAACAGTGTTGTGCAGGCCTGCCTGTGGCTGCCGGGCCTTACATACTCCGTACTGTACTGAATAAATCCAGAGGAAGCTTTGAGCAGAAACGAAGGCCTGGCGCTGTCCTGGCTGCATGTGCTCATTAGGTGGTCGATATGTGAAGTGTGCTCTTGATCACACACTAACGGTCATGTGCACGCACAGTGGACATAGCAGACTTCATCTTATGGTGTCAGAGCACGCTAATGAATTACGGGGTAAACTGTAGCCGTCCTCCGGCTGGCATTCCTAGCAAAAGTAGAAGAGGTCGTTTTGAAAGTGAAAACATCGACCAGTATCCTCAGAAGCTTAGTTTCTGCTCGTTGGCATCCTTTGCTTTCTCCGTTCCTGCCCAGCTCGATCTTCCCCTGCCTAGTGACTCTGTCAGGGTACGTGAAGGAGGCTTTTTGTCACCCAGATTGCTTGTTGGCATGTCGCCTACTCCAGTGGGGACTCTGCTCTGCATCTCATTGTTTAAAGCTGCGTTCCCTTTAATAAGGAAACGTCTAGTTGGTGATGACCTGTTTCTGCCCATAGTTTTGCCCGCTCTGAGAATTTTTAGAGTGTGTTTAGTGTGCGCCTGTGTGCAGTGTGTGCTTGTGTGCCTGCTTGTAGCAGCCTGAAGTCCCCATCAGGACCTTCCCCTGCTGCTCCCTTACTGAGGCCCGGCCTGTGGTGTGGCTAGTCTCACAAGCCAGCTTCCACTGAGGTCTCCTGCCTCTGCCTTCTGAGCACCGTAGTTCCAGGTGTGCAGGCACTCAGCAGGCGTCTGTGTAGGGTGTGGGGGCACAAATCTAGTCCTCTTCCTTAACCTGGCAGGTGCTTTATTCGCCAAGCTCCCTCTCCAGCCTGGCATTTAGATTTGGAAACCCTGAGGTCGTTTGTTGTTGACTCAGTCATGAGATGCCTGCGGTGGAGGCAGGTACTGTTTGTTGTGAGCTGGCTCCCAGAGAGCTTAAGTCCTGGTCCAGGAGGAAGCTTGCTGTGAGGCGACAGTGCCGAGAAGGGAAGGAGGGTGAAGAGCGCTCAGCTCTTCGGGAGAGGTTCTGGAACAGCATCTGGGTTATTCAGCTAAGCAAGGGCTTGAAAGCCCAGGACATCAGGCCTTAACTGAGCATCTAGTGTGCCCCAGGGAATGTGTAGATTTGAGGCGTTTAGAGATGTTAATCTTCAGAGAGCCCACAGTCTTGTAGGCAAGGCAGACATGTTTAGTCACGTATGACAGTAAAGCCGTAATTCAGCTTTGCTGACTAACAGAAACTTAATGAGGACTTTCAGGGTACAGACCACACAAATACTATTCTGGAGCTAAGCAGAGATGTGTGCACAGGAGTGTCCTAACACACCAGCCTGTCCTAGGCAGACGTGCGCTGTGCCAAAAGGGTGCAGGTTAGGAGAAATGGTGGGGCCGCAGGTCATTACAGGGTACAGGAGCTGGCAGTCGGGATGCCTGCATTCCTCACTGAACCCCTGCTTTCTGTGTTCCGTGCCTTTGCAGTCTGGCCCTCAGCTGTGAAGGTATGTACTCCGTCCCATTGTCAGAAACAGAAGTACATTTGTAAGCACATGACTAAACTTAATTATTTTTCGTGAGTTGCTTTTGATATATTCAAATCTTTTTTTTTTCTTTTAGGCAAATCAGTTTTGTGTAGCAAAGAAGTTCCAGCACAAGATCTGAGGAAACTGTGTGAGAGACTCAGAGGTCTAGACTCTTGGACTCCCAGGTTGGCAGTTGACCCACCAGGGCACACTTCTGGTGGCCCTGCTTCGGAGAACACTGACCCTCAGGCTTCCCTCGGACAGGCTTCTGCAGCACAGCGCTCGGAGGGCTCCTTGAGTGGAGGGGCCAATGCTGGCTGTCCCAGGGTCATTACTGCCAACACGGAAGGCTGGGACACGGTGCCCGACGTCACCTATGACCTGCTGGATAGACTTCTGGATCTGAACCCTGCCTCGAGAATAACTGCAGAAGCGGCCTTACTGCATCCGTTCTTTAGAGACATGAGCTCTTGATGGCTGTCTGTCTGCCAGCCCTGCTGTGCTGTGAGGGAGCAGAGGAAGGGGTCCTAATGATCCTGGGATGTCCTTAGCAGGACTTCTGAGTTAAACCTCCATGGTGGCTCAGGTCTTTTGTTTCCTGGCTTGCTTAGCTGATGCCTGGGCTCAAGGTCCAGACCATAAATGAACAGATTCAACCAAGTAAATGAAGGAAAACCAGTTTCTAGGCCACTGGGTGGTCTGTGCTGTGAGAGAGAGAGAGAGAGAGAGAGTGTGTGTGTGTGTGTGTGTGTGTGTGTGTGTGTGTGTGTGTGTTGGGGGGGTTGGCTCTTGGTATATAGAAAAGTGATCTTTCCTGTAGGTGTGTAAATAAACATAACTTTTGTACAGATGTGTGCCTCTACCCATCAGTCTCCTTATAAGTGGCAGGGTGCTCAGTGCTGAGTCACCGAGTGCTTGACTAAGTTGCGTGCCATTTGCCAAATACTATGCATATTGTCATGAGGCAGAAAGGCTTCTTACTTTTTTCTCACATCATCTTAGTTCGTCCAGTTAGGTGCTGCCACAAGAAGGGAGCACAGAATGGGGACATGACTGTGGTCCTTGTCTGCCTGGAGCTCCCTGACCTCTGGACTACTGTTCTAAGCTGACCATGTTTAGAGTCTTAGTGCATCAGGGAGAAGAATGAATTTGTGGTATTTATACTTGGAGCTGCGTCAAGTCTGTTGGCATACTAGGCTCCCAGGAGCCACCAGGAGAGACTGCTGAGGAGTCTCTGCTGTGCCATCACAGACTGTAGGTACTCATTATGTTCCTATTTTGAGCAGGGCTAGATCAATGTTTACATAACCCACCTGATGTGTGTATATAATATATATTTGTGTAGATGCACACTTTGTCTTATGCTGTTATTTTTTTAAGACTTGAATATTTTGGTATACGTATTTAATAATAAACTTTTTCTTTTAGGTTCTTATGTCAGACTGCTTATTTAAAGAATAGTAACTTAAGCCAGGCACACGTAGAATGTGACTAGTCACCCAGGTTACTTGGCAAAGAGCCAGAATAGTGGGGAGGAGAAAAGAGAAAAGCAGCTTTTAATGTTTTCTTTCCAGACAGACACAGTCCTACACACCTTTAATCCCAGAACTCAGCAGGCAAAGGCAGATCTGGACAGTGAATTCCCGGCCAGCAAGGGATGTTAGTTCTCCTGGAAGCAATCAACAGCCCATCTCCACTTAGGTAGGTGTACAAATAGCGACCTGGCTAAGGTTAGCCAGATAGGATGGGAATATCTGTAGAAAGCTGCTCGTTGGGGCTGGAGGGTTAGAGCACTGTTTACTCTTCCAAAAGTCTGCGTTCAATTCCCAGCCACCACAAGGTGGCTCACAACCATCTATAGTGACATCTGGTGCCCTTTTCTGGCCTGCAGGCAGAACATTGTATGCATAATCTTTCAAAAAAAAAAGAGGATGATCATTGCCTAATTACCACACGTGGCAAAATGTAAAGCACTGTGTCAGTGTAGAAGGAATCTCTTATGTCTGTGTGGAAATGTCAACCTGTAAATAAAAGGCCAATGGCCTATAGCTGAGGCAGGAAATAGGTGGGACATCCGGCAGGCAGAAAGGATTCTGGGATACAGCCAGGCTCGAAAGATTCAACTGGCAAGATGTGAGACAGTATGGTCCCTGCGCACAGGTAACCAGCCATGTGGCAGGACTAAGAATAGTATAAATGAGTTATTTTAGGTTATGAGATAGTCAAAGAAGGGCCTAGTTGTATGGCCTAGAGATTTGTAAAACTTTTTTTAGTCTCATGAGTGGTTATTCCAGGACCTTGGGGACAGGAGGAAAACCCCACAGCATCTCAGTAGTTAAAATGAAGTCTTAACCTAGCTACAATTTTGACTCACAATTTGACTGTCAGGAGAGTGAGAGGGTAGAAGGATTTACCAAAAGACAGGACGCAGTGGTCTTGGAAAATGTGTTGTTTTAACTTTTTTTTTTTTTAGGTCAAGACTTGATAATGCTAACAAAGTTAGTCAGAATTATAGGTTAGTTTCAGGAGATTTTAGTCCTTTTGACAAATGTAGCATCAGCTTTGAGGAATTGTCCCCATGGTGCTGATCAAACTTAGTAAGGAACCACCTGTTTGTATGGCTCTGTGGATGTGAAGGAGCCAGAGTGTGTGTGCGTGTTTGGGTGAAAAGAGAGTCTTTGCCATCAGTTGTCTCCTCGGTTTGAGTTGTCTCCTTATGCTTGAGACAGTCCGTCATTGAGCCTTGAGCTCACCAACATGGCTAGGCTAGTGGCCGCCGCCACGCCCCCGGGGTCTGCCTGCCTCTACCTCCCCAGTGCTGGGGTGACAGATCCTAGCTCTGATAGTGGTCCTGGGGATCAGAACTCAAGTCCTCATGCTTCTCTCCAGCTTCCTGTGGCTAACACAGCTTTATAATACCTCCCTGAAATAATTAGGCTTGGTGGCGTTTCTAGAGAAAGCAGAAGGTTGTGCTGGGCCCAGTGGCCCAGAGCCATGAGCTAAGATTCGCCTGGGCTTCTAGGCAAGGCTCCCAAAGTTGCTGCCTGTTTTCCAATTACAAAGTTCCTGGAATATTTGACTGTTCTTCGTGGCCAGCGTTTTAAGAGCTTGAACTGGAGGTTGTTAAGGCTGTTGTCGTTGAACAGGCTTTAGATGTTTAGAGACGGAACTATTAACAAAGCTACAAGTACTGGTTTTGAAAGAAGCCTTAATGAGATTTTCCCTAGTAAGGAGATGGATTCACTTTCCTTAACGACCCGAGTGGAAAACAGTGGCTCAAGCTGACTTTGTTTCACAATCCGGAGTAGAAGTCATCAGGAATGTTGATCCCTCACTTTCTGGCACCAGCTCTGGAGGAACAAATTGGTGCTACAGATGTCAGAATATTGATTGCACAAGGTCTTGAAACCCACAGAGCTAGTAGGCTTAGGTCTTAGTACTTTTTGTTGTTTGTCATTGCAACCCAACACGTCACTGTAAAGTTATTTATCTTTAAAAAAAGGAAAAGAAAAAGAAAAAGCCAATTTGGCGGGTAGCACTGTCTGCCAGGGCCTGCAGATGTGCAACTCCCACCCAATTGTGCCTGTCATCTGTGTTCTTTAAAGAACACTGTCTCCACACAGTTGTGTCAAATCTTGCTTCAGAAATTTCCCCTATCCTCTTTAGGTTAGCACGCCTGGTTCCTGGTTTTGTCAGTGTGTGTCTAAACTGTCATGCTTCCATGAAGGTTGCCTGTCACCAGGTTCCAGATAGGCACAGGCCGTGGGGGAGCCACATTCCACAGGTTTTCATCAGCACAACCAGAGTCCCCGACACAGTAAGGTCCCTCGCCCAGCAGTGTTTGTGTGTGCTCTTAGCAGCTGCAGATTGGGTGAGAATCTTGCAAAAGCAAAGGTCAGGGAAGAAGCAGCGGACACTGTGGACAGGAACACTAATGTCCTAGGACCTTGTTGCCCAGTGGAAGAAAGTTAACTGAAAACGCAGAGTTGGCCGTGAGCTTTGTTTTCAGTGCTTTAGAAACTGGCACCTGCCCGAAAAGAATTCACAAGCATGAGGAACGCGCAAAGCTGTTGGAAAGGGGTTTCCTAACCTTTGAGGCAGGAACGGCGGCTGAGCCCGATGGGTGTGTGTTTCTGCTGAAGTGAGGCTCTGCAAGAAGAGCCTTTCAGAGGAGAAACCAGCAGTCCAAGCCACTGGGCCGATCCTTGGACTCCACTGGAGCAGTGTGAAAAGTCATGCTGGAAAGATGGCTCAGTGGCTAAGAACATTGGCTGTTCTTGCAGAGGGCCTGGACCAGGCCCCAGCATCCCTGTGGTCTACAGCTGTCCCTAACTCCAGTCCCAGTGTCCTTCTGACTTAGGTGGGCGCCAGAAACGTGCATGCATGCAGCAGGCAAAACTCACATGTAAAAATAAATTTTAAAAAATGTAAGAAAGTAATTGGTTTTTCACTAGAAAATGTAATCCCGACATATGAAGAAGATGGGGAATGCTTCGCACTGAGTGGTGGTTTATTTCTCACAGTTCGTTGCTGGTTGCTCTCTTCCTCTACTCAAATGCTCTGGTGAAAAACTGTCACACTGCACGTGGCAGGTATATGAGCAGCCTTTTTGCAGGTATCACCAGTGTTTCCTTAACATACACTTTTAAGAGTAGTGAAATAAAGGCCTGTTTTACTGGTACGTGTGTGTGTTTCTAAAAACATATATATATATATTTTTTACAAGGTCTCTCTACATAGCCCTAGCTATCCTGAAACTGGCTTTGTGGATCAGGCTGGCCTCAAATGCACAGAGCTCTCTGTCTCTGCCTCCCGAGAGCTGGGATTTCAGGCGTGCGGTGCACACTCCTAAACACCAAGCACCCTCTCTGATTGCGTTTACTTATTTATGAGGTGCATGCATGGTGACCAGGCCCCCCTTCAGCAGTGGGGTTCTGGAGACTGAATACAGGCTTAGAAGCAAGTGTCCTCACCCCTGAGCCGCTGGACTGGCTTTCTCTCATCTTGTATTTTTTTTCTTTTTTAGTCCTGTGAGTAAATAATCATATCAGATCTTATTCTTAGAAAGGAAGCGTAAGTTTACGTTAGAATTAAAGACACCACAGCATTCCCCACCTCCTCCTGTGTCCTGGAAAGCATCCTTCCTTTAGTTTTCTGATTAATCAAGGGCACCCTTGATCTTCTGCCTCCTCTTTCCAAGTTTTGGGGTTACAGGCGTGTGCCAGCCTGTTCAGAGTCCGCTTTGAATGGTGTGTTTATCCTTTGCCTGCATTCCCTTTGTAACTTTTCTGAAGACTAACATGATTTAAACAAGAAACGAAGGAAAGAAAAATGAAGTGACTTGCTCCTGCATATTTTCCCAGTGCTCTTCTCCCCTGCCCCTCTTCCTCATAAAAGTGTGACTTGAATCAGGCAGGATTCCAGTGTGGTACTTCAATTCAGAGTAAGCCAGAGGGAACATTGCTGTCTGCTTGTCCTAACTGCACTGTTCCCATCTGGACATGGCAGCCCACTGTCAGATGACGCCTTCCGTGGTCACTCCAGCCCAAACAGTGTTTCCCTTGAAGATCTGTAGTGAAGCGTAAATCTCTTGAAGGTAGACTCTGCCTTTTAATTTTCTCACCACTGAAGAGACTCAAGTTGCCAGTTGAGAGTTGCTGGGAACCTGACCCATGAGGGTATTCCCAAGCCCCGCCAGAACAATCCTAGCCTAAAGATAGCCCCTTTAATTCTTACATCTAAAGGGTTGCACTGTTTTTCCTGTGTGGAACGCTCTGTCCTAAGGCTTCCCGGCTCCCCCGCAGGCCCATCCATCTCGAGGCTAATTTCTCTCCTCTCCGGGCTGCTGGT